TTAAAATGTATTGGCTTTTATATTTCCTTCAATTTATTCAAATTTTGTTACAACTTCTTTAGCACATTATTAAAAATTAAATAAATAATAATAAGAAAAACGTCATATATATATTTAAAATAAAGTTTGTTTCAAGATGTTGTTATCATCTTTATTTTGTTTTTAACAAAACACACATTCTCTTTGGGGAAAAAAAAACTTTAGTTTTTTATTTTCTTATTTAATTTTTTTAACAAGGTGGTAAGAAAGTTGTAAAAAAAATTATATTGTTATTAAAAAAAAATAATACATTTAAAAAGGGTAAATTTGGAAAACAAAAAATAGTTTGTATGATGCATTAATGACATTGTTTTAAGTGTAAGAAAATTGACACTTGTATGAGAAGAAGAGAGAAGGTTGCTAGCACTACCCATATATTCATTCTTAGCATTAGTGATATTGATTAATTCTACACCATTTAATTTTGAAAATATTTTTGCTCATCACTTTAACCCAATGTATACCATCATCATCATTCTCAACATTTGACACGTGTCCATGGTCACAACCATAATTCCATAAATACAAAGCAAAGAATTAATTATGGGTATGTTAATTAACACGTGTCAAGTAGTAAGAAGGGTGATGAGTAAAAATATATAAACAAACTTATAAAAAAAAACTCAAAAAATGACAGGTGTCCCTATTGAATTTAATTTTGATTATTAAATTATTTTGATACCCTATTGAGTGTTTTGAGTATTTTTATGAGATTTTGGGGTTGGGTTTGTTTTAAGAAATTAATGTCAGTTTTGTAATTTATAAGAAGTTAAAAGATTCTTTGTTATGATGTGTAGGAGTCTTTTTATTCCAGAAGCTTGACGAATGGGCTTGGGCTGCCGAAAAGAGAAACATGTGTGAAATTTCCCCTTGAGTTTGAGTTTAAGAATCAGGCCCCAAGAGTGTTTCGAAAGGATAGCTGAGCCTTAGGAAACACCTTGGTCTTCTTCACCAACGAAACCAACAGTTGCTTACAGATAAATTCTTGGGCTTGGCACGAGAGCTTGTGGCATGAGAGCTGAGTATTCGTGAGTTTAGTATGAGAGAGAGAAGGCTTGGGGTTTCCTATGAGGAATAGAGGCTTTGAGAGAGATGAAGCTTGCTCTCTAAATCTGTGTTGTGGAAAGAGAGGTAGAAGATGAAAGCATGGATAGCTTTAGCATATTTCCAGTAGCTTGACAAAAGCTTCGTCAAGCTCATGGGCGATTTGACAGAGGAGAAAAATGGAAGAAATAGAAGAACAAGACTTGAAATCGAAGGGTTCCAGAGATGAGAGATGATGCTTGCTTTCTCTGGATGTGGGTTTTGAGAGAGAGGAAGAGGAATCGAAGAACAAAGCATGAAATTGAAGGATTCCAGAGTGGATGCTTGCCTTCAATTCGTTCGTGTTTGTTCTGTCCATCGTGAGTTGTTTTGCTGGGAAGAAAGTGTCTCCTTTTATAGGGGCTAGAAGACTCAATTTTATCAAGCCAACATCTCCCTTTTTCCTTCACTTTCTTCCATTTATCTAGTTTGGTGAAATTTCTCTAGCCTGAACCCATAGGCACGCAGCTTTTTGGGGTTCTAAGGTCCTCAAGCAGCTGGACTCTTCATGTGGGTGAGGTGCCACCCACTTTTACTTCTTGTTTTCTCACCAAAGCTTGAAGAGGAAAGAATGGGTAAGGATGCTTGGTCAAAAAGATGATCAGCACATGGGTTTGCTTGCTTTTGCTGGTTTGGCTTTGAACTGGTTTTAACAGAGCACAACGTTGGATATTTTATAAGATGATGAGCTTGGCTGTTTTGTTTCCAGCGGTTTGTGAGTTCCCTTTGATTTCGTCAGACTACTGGAAGCTTTGGCTGATGTGGGATTTTTTATGGGATATGGCTATTGGACATTTTTTAAAGATGTTTGGGCCTTTTCTTAAGGTAATGGGATATTGGGTTTTCTCTCATGCTTGCCTATATATTTGGACTCAATGAATGGGCTTGAGTTTTGGTGCTCCCAAGTAGCCCAAAACTTCCACTCCTTGGACCATCAATGGGCCTCGTGAATACTCGTAACCATCCATACCATAACCCGCTCAACACGCCCCATGCATTAACGTGGTTTGGGCCCACTTAAGCTTGTAGCGTGGCATGTTGCTTATTTGCTTGACATGGCATGTGTGCAAAGCGTATATGACGAACTTTCGCATGCCCAAATCGGTTTCTTTTTGATAAGGTATCGCATTGGGCTAAAAATTTATTTGGGCCGAACTGTGGATTTTTTGGGCCTCAACATGATGTAAATGAGCTTTGGGTGTGTTTCTAAAGTCCATTTCATATATGGTATTTTTATAATTTGAGCCCTTATATTGGGTATAATAGCGAATCTCTCTATTTTATATTCAACTTTAATAGAAGATTCTTTTTTTTTCTTGGAAAAAAAAAAGAAGAAAAAAGTAAACATGTGTTAAAACCTTAAATATGAGACCGAGGGGCTTAGAAATTATTTTACAAAAGGTTAAATTTATATTTAAAATTGGGTGGAGAAATGAAAATAAAGCACTATTTTTGTTGTATGCAATCTGACCGCGTTGTTTCAAATTCCAAGAAGGATGAAATCCAGGCAACATCCCAAAAGAAATGTGTGGGGGCCCACTATCAAATTGCACGACATATCTCACTGTCCTCCCTCTCCACCGTCCACGTCATCATTTGGTCCTACCTTCTGTTACTTATCCTCTCCCCTCGTAAACCCAAGGAATTGTTCCCTCCACCCAAAATAAATGCTCTCTTACTCGCTGAGAGTACCCAAAATATTTACCCGCCAAACTTACGCTAACAGCTGCCATTAGCATCTGTAAAACGACATGTCGTAGTCTTGCAACGGCGAGTACGACCGACTAACACATTCGAGAGCACGACAACAGAGATAGTGGTCGGTCACAACTTGGTCATGTCTGCTGGAGATCGTAACCACTCAAAAATCGGCACGTGGAATTGCTGCTCTTCTTGTTTCTTATGTTCCACGAAGACTTTTTAGACAGTCCACTGGAGCATAGGAGGAGGGGATGTAGCCAAGCTTAACGAATAAGCTTTACATCTTTTTGCATTGCTGCCAATTCAGAATTAAAGGCCTACCCATGAAGATGCTTCACGCAAGCAAGTAGACAAGGTTAGAGAATTTATACACAATTTAGAAAGAGAGAGAGAGGGGGGAGAGAGAAAGAGAGAGATTGTTGCTATAGCAATGGAGCGCTTTGAGATATTGAAGGATATTGGGTCTGGGAATTTTGGGGTTGCAAAACTGGTTAAGGACAAATGGAGTGGGGAGCTCTATGCTGTGAAGTTTATTGAAAGAGGGCTGAAGGTAACATATGCATCTTTTATTTTTTCTCTTTCATTGGTATGAAATTTTGATTCTTGGGTCTCTTTTTTTTTCCCATTCATCTTGATAGGTGAGATTTTATCATCCTCGTTTTGTTTGTTTTTTTCATGGAGGGACTAATTTGAAGCATTCTTCTGTGTTTACAGATTGATGAGCATGTACAGAGGGAGATTATGAACCACAGGTCCTTGAAGCATCCCAATATAATAAGATTTAAAGAGGTATAACTTTGAGTTTGATCTAATGAAATAGTTCTATTCGTATCTCAATGAGAAAAGGTTCTGCAAAGCTACGTTAGTGCTCTGCAACTTGCAAGAACTGTTAGAGAATCAGACACTACTTTTTGTTAATAACAGAACATGCTTTTCTATCTCCACTTGTTTTAAAGACTCTACCTTTTTCCTCCATTATCTTGGCATTGGAACCAGGCTGGCTACAGTGAAAAATTTATGCTTCCTTAGTTGGTTTTCAATGAGTAATTTCAAGGGGTTTAGCATATTTGAAATCAGATGAGATTTTTTCCTTATTTATTTGACTGTATGTCTGTTAAATTTTGCAGGTCTTGTTAACACCAACCGACTTGGCCATTGTCATGGAATATGCAGCTGGAGGAGAACTTTTTGAAAGAATATGCACTGCTGGTAGATTCAGTGAGGACGAGGTAAAAATTAGAACAAATTCAATGCTAAAAGAATATCCAGCTTTTTTTTTTTTTGGTCTGAAGAATATCCAGCTTATATATGTATACTTGGGTTTTCTTTTCTTCAGCTACAAATGATTAGATATTTTAGTAGCTGTTTTGGGTTTTTTTTCCTTGATGTTCTGATACTTTACATGGGTATCTGTAGGCAAGGTATTTCTTTCAACAGCTGATTTCAGGAGTCAGTTATTGCCACTCAATGGTAAAAACCTCAATCTATCAAAATCATAATTAAAGTTTTCTTTGTTGTAATTATCTCCAATCTTGACCTTCCATCCATCCCTTACTGATTTTGAATGTTTTCTATTGCAGCAAATTTGCCACAGAGATCTTAAATTGGAGAACACACTTCTAGATGGAAGCTCAGCACCACGTCTCAAAATTTGCGATTTTGGTTATTCCAAGGCAATTAACTACTTCATTTACAGTACATTCAGGCCAGTTTGATAACTGTTTCAGTTTTCATTTTTCGGTGTGTTAATTCAATTTCAATGACTTAATTTCTTTTTTGTTGCATCTTATAGTCATCTGTGTTGCATTCCCAACCCAAATCAACTGTTGGAACACCGGCCTACATTGCACCAGAGGTCCTGTCAAGAAAAGAGTATGATGGGAAGGTAAGTTTACTAATCTTTGTTGGCCTGTTTTTCATGTTCGATTTTTGGTCTTGTCCTTGTCATTTTGGGGCCAACTATTTGGTCACCTAACATCATGTCTTCACACTTTTTTTGTTCTCTGAGAATCTCAGATTGCGGATGTTTGGTCATGTGGGGTTACTTTGTATGTGATGCTTGTGGGTGCTTATCCCTTTGAAGATCCAGAAGATCCAAGAAACTTCAGAAAAACACTCCAGGTATCTATCATTGTGGTATTTGTACCATTTTAGTTTTGCCTCTTGCTATGCCTTTTAATGTTGTGGCCTAACATCTATAATTTGCTAATGCCTTATTTCAGCGGATTCTTAGTGTCCACTACTCCATTCCTGACTATGTACGCGTTTCCATGGAATGTAGACATCTCCTTTCTCGAATTTTCGTTGCTAACCCCGAAAAGGTATAATTCCTTATACTTACAGCTCTCGTTGTACACATGATTGATTGCTAGTCGTTGATGGTTCATGCTTAGAAAGAAAACCCTTTTTTACTTTTTTGAGTTTATACACTTTATTTTGATTCTTTGACAATAGTCGTCAATATATGCAGACGGCTGACACCCGTGCCTAGAACGAAAACGATTTTTCACTTTTTTGAGTGTTTATACTTTTTTTTTTCTTGAGTGTTTTGAGTGTTTTTACTTTTAAGTCCTTATTTTGATTCGGTGACAATAGCTATCTATATGTATGTGTGATTGATTCTCAGTCGTTAAATTTGATGCAGAGAATAACCATCCCAGAAATAAAGCAGCACCCCTGGTTTCTGAAAAATATACCAGTAGAATTCATGGAAGAAAACAACCTGCAAAGCAGCAATCAAAACCATGAACAACAATCATCCCAGAGCATTGAAGAGATTTTAGCAATAATTCAAGAAGCTCGAAAAGCTGCAAACGGTGCCAAAATTGGCGGGCTTTTACTGGGAAGTATGGATCTTGATGAGATAGATGATGCTGACATAGATGACATAGAGACAAGTGGTGATTTTGTTTGCGCATTATGAGTGTCAAGTTCATATCACATACAGCTTTGCACCTTGCAGCTGCGGGCCAAATGCCATTTCCAAAAAGCAGTTGGAGATAAGGCATTTTTTCCCTTCTTCTTTTTCATGTGATGTTGGGGAATCAAACTGTCTCTTTTAAAGAGTGATGGTTATTTTCCCTTGCTTGGAAGCTTGCTGTCTTAGTCTCTGTGTGAAGTGGCATTATTTCCATTATAGGGTATTTATTGGCTGTTGCTTCTCATATTTGTAATTTGCAAAATTCTCATAATGTTCAGCTTCTTTTTATAATCTTACCTGATTAAGATAAATCTTTCTCAGTCACAAAACTGCACATTTTGAAATTCTGTTGGCCTGTGACATAAGCATAAAGTGATCAGTGATAAAATATCAGTATAATTCCATCAACCTGATCCAATTTAACATCAAAACATTGATATCATATGCATCAATCTTCACGGCGGATTTTGTAGCTAGTTTAGGTCATGCTCTCACAACCCTTCCCGTCTGTGTGAGAACGGGGTTCTTTTGTCCGTTGTAAACTCCTTTTATTTTGACTTTTTAGTGCCTCCGAGTTCGAGAGGGTTTCTCCTGTAATTTCCTTTTTCCACATAAAAATAAAGTAAAATTAAACAAAATTGCAAAAGATTAGGACGATAATGTAAATATAATACTAATACGACTACAGAAAGGATACATATAATATCAATCTTTGTGATATCTTCATAGTGGACAGCATCATATGTTCATATTTAGCATTGCAAGTCCAATGGTTAGTTGCTCGTGCTAATTGGAGCATGTCATACAGTGCACAATTAGTTAATTGGCACTAATATGTTTCTTTTCAATTATTTAAGTTCAGACCCTCCACAATAAATGTCTGCTGTCGGATAATCTAATAGTTAATTATTTGAGTGGTATTTTATTGTGTAAAATTACTTGTTTTTATTGTCTTCTAACACGATAATGTAATTGTTTGCTCAATTTCTTTTGGGTTAGTGAATAACAAGTCTCTTAAGGTGACTTGGTCTGAGCCATGTTCACATATGAGTTTTTGTTGATTCTTCAATCAAATCATTCTCCCGAAATTTCCATCTAAAATTTATCTTTTCTGAAATTTAGTTTAATTTTATCTCGAATTTAAAGGATTTTGTTGCAATATGTCGTTGGGAAAAAGAGGGATTAATAAGAGTCAATTAATAGCTCTGATTGTCCCTGAACCAAGCTTTTTCCACCCTTGTGCAATTAAAATAGGCAAACAAACAATGTGAGGCTAAACTTTGCCTACATCAATAAACACAAATGAAGAGAGGGAAGCATTACAAAAAGTAGAAACCCAAACTAAATGTAGCTCATCACCCACAAATAAAGCACAAGGGCCAAACATAAAGATACAAAACCAAAAAAATGAGGTTTTCTCTTGTGAAATTCTCTCTAATTTGCTTTTCTGATGAATGATTTTGAAATGCAAACAGTGGCTTTCGTAGGTCCCAATGAGCTAAGAAAACATTTCCACCCCATGTTCATACTTGCGTTGGTTTTGTAGCCATTCATTCATTAACCACCTCATTCTATGGTTTTTCTTACCTTTTAACTTCGTCTTTATCTCTCTTTTCCACTAAAGCAAGGATAGCCTCTGTCTCCCCCTCCCGACTTAGGTATCATGCATGTTGCCATTATGTATAGCTCATACTCTGTCGTTTGGTAAAGATTGTCACTATATCCGAATTGTTGTTATCGATATGAATGTTCTCAAGGTGTAGTTTTTTGGAATATAACACATCACATGTTCAGTCGTAGTGCATATCAATGTGCTTCAAACTCGGGTGAAAACTCGAGTTTTTTCTTGGGTTGAGTTATTAGGCTATCTCTAACTCATGAGGCCAAACTCAAAATATCCCAAATTTTAGCATAATTTCTCTCTCAACTCAAGAAAATTAATGGGCCAAAATTTGAGAAAACCCAAACTTGAGGCCAAATACCAATCTAGCTATTGCCTCGACTGGAATTTTTTTGGTGAAGCCCACTAAAAGCTGACGCAACTCATGTGCAAAGTAGCTGTGAAAAGGGCCTGCCCTGCTACTGCTGCAGACCTTGTCACGTCACGTGTCCCGCGCTTGTGATGTAGTCGTTGGAATCCAACATCACAATTCAAACAACCCTTTTTTTAATATATATTTATTTATTTTTTATTCCATTAGTAACCCAAATCAACGATTTAGATTAAATCCAAGCTATTTTAACAGTAAAATAAAGATCCAAAGGTCAAAATAGTATTTTAAATTAATTTAAATAAGATCCAACCTAAAACTCACTCCAAATTCTATAAATGCCTACCCATTTCATAAATAATCTACCAAAAATTATATTTGTGGAATATAAATTGTTCAAAAATAAATAAATAAATTGTGAAGTTATTTAAAAAGATTAAATGAAGAAAAATTATCCATTAAAAAAATTAGACTTAAACCATTCTTAAACAATTTAATAAAGTTGCGGACTTAAAATTTGAGTATGAAGAGTTGGGGGAAAAACGGTTTGAGTTTGGGCAAAACTCAAATAGTTATTTTTTAGAGGGAGAAAATTTGAATTTAGCCTCAAATTGGTTGGAGGAGGCCTTAAGAGAGAAAAAAATTGTTTAATTGAAGTCCAGTTAGCCCACAGAAATATATATGCTGGATTGAAAGGAGAAAAATCCTAATTTTCTATAATAAAAACTAGAAGCCCAGCCCAGTACTCCTCTAAGGCGCTTGGGCCCAATGAACTCATCCACGTTTTCAAGTTTCATCTCACAATCTCCCAAGCTTGGGGCCCAATTCCGCGTCCCATCTCGTCTATATATAAATTCCTTTCAGGCTCTTCCCCAAAACCCTAAGAAGCTGCCAGGAGCTCCTTGAATTCGAGTGGTTTAGCAAGAGGACCATTTCTCTCATCTCGGCCGTGGCAGTGGAGCAAACATGAAGGTTTGTATATCCGTCTTATTTTCTCCGATCCCCAATTCTAATGCATTTCAGTCTTTCACCGATCAGCTTCCTGTTGTTTCAGTTTAACATTGCGAATCCCACCACTGGGTGCCAGAAGAAGCTCGAGATCGACGATGACGCTAAACTGTACGAAAACCCTACCTCTAATTCTCCTCCATTTCGTGTTTTGCTTACTTTCGGGAAAGGATAGTATCAGCATTTGTTAGGCAATAGAGGTTGATAGATTTGGATCGATCTTATGAACTTGAGGTCTGTTTGGTTGCTGAGAAATTATTAGAAGAAAACGAAAACTGGAATTTTGAGTTTAGGGTTGTGACTTTATCGATTATAGCAATCATTTCATCTTAAGGAGATTGGAGAAGTTTTATTTTTCAAGTTAGCTATATGTTTGGTTAGCAATGTAGTGGATGGATGTAGGCGGCATGATTTGCATCTTCTTTGTATGAGTAACGATCATTTTATCTATCTGATGACTAGGAGGTCGGTGAGAAATAGAATTGCCTTCTGGGTTTATTTCATTACTTGATGAAAAAGGAATTTCTTTTGGTATTTCCACAATTACACCAAATGAATTGAGTATTTTAGAAAACGATGGAAAATTTTGGATGCATTTTATGAGAATAAAGATTACAAATGGAGTGAATGATTTGAAATTTTTACTTCAAATTGTCATGCTCATGAGTAAACTTGTGGTAACAATTCTTTTATTCATTTTAGTTAGTATGTAGCCTTCTATTAAGGTTTACTTTTTTGCACTATGTGCTTATGGATGAGTAGAAGGATTGCCCTGCAGTGTATTTCTTTATGGAATTCCAGCTCTGTGTCAGAACTTGTTCTGAATGTGCATTTTACCTTTTGCGTATTGACTAGGTTTTTCAAGAAATATTTGTGTACTGTGGTGATGCCATATGATTTTTATTTATTTATTTATTTATTTATTTTATATCTGATGTATATGTACTTCGTAAATACCAAGGAAATTAAGAATACTCTTGGATTATAAAGAGCGAATTGACTTCAAAGTGTTTTATAGTTGCTGGAAGTACATTTTCCAGTGACAGACGCATATCGTGTATTGTTAATTATGCTCACATGTTTTTATTTATGGTTTTACCAATTTCATTCTAGACTTTAGCTTGACATATCTTGCACTCAGTTTTTTTTTCTTTCTATTAACAGATTGTATCCTAAACAATGTTTTATTTAATGTATCTTAGATTATGACCACTAAACTCTTTGACATGCAGCCGTGCATTCTGGGACAAGAGGATCTCTCAAGAAGTCAATGGTGATGCCCTGGGCGAGGTATTTACCATTTGCGAGATTTGATTTTAGTCATCTTACAATGGAGTACTCATTACAGTTTTTTTCCTTCTTTTACAGGAGTTCAAGGGCTATGTATTTAAAATTATGGGAGGCTGTGACAAGCAAGGCTTTCCTATGAAGCAAGGAGTGTTAACCCCAGGCCGTGTTCGCCTTTTGCTCCATAGAGGTATGTTATAATGTATCAATTTGTGTCTGAGAGATAGCGGCATTTGATTTTGAGTTCCTGTTGTAGTACCTAATATTAGTTTTCTCTCGGCTCAACACTTTTGGGCGATGAAACTGATTGATGCATATTGTTTATTTAGGTACACCGTGCTTCCGTGGATATGGAAGGAGGAATGGAGAGCGAAGAAGGAAGTCTGTTCGTGGATGTATTGTCAGTCCAGACCTGTCTGTATTGAACTTGGTTATTGTTAAGAAAGGTGACAATGACCTTCCTGGACTTACTGATGTTGAAAAGCCAAGAATGAGAGGTCCAAAAAGGGCATCAAAGATCCGGAAACTATTTAACCTCACCAAGGATGATGATGTGAGGAAGTATGTCAACACCTACCGCAGAACATTTACAAGCAAAACTGGTGGGTTATATTTTCGGTCTTTAAAATTTTGTTTTCACACAACAGAAATATGAAAAAGATACTCTGCTAGAATATTAGTCACCACGCAGTGATGAAATTTCCATTTAAGTTTGTTGTGAGTCTCGGCCCTTGAGATAAAATACCCAATTTAATGGTTTGCAGGCAAAAAGTGCAGCAAAGCTCCCAAAATTCAGAGACTGGTTACTCCATTGACTTTACAGAGGAAGCGAGCAAGGATCGCAGAGAAGAAGAAGAGAGTTGCAAAGGCGAAGTCTGAGGCAGCAGAGTATCAAAAGCTCCTTGCTTCCCGGTTGAAGGAGCAGCGTGATCGACGCAGTGAGAGCTTAGCCAAGAGGAGATCGAGACTTTCTGGTGCGTCTAAGCCATCTGCTGCTTAGGTCTCTGAAA